GGAAGGAAACAAAGAGACTTTGAGGCAAGTCACAAGATCAGTGTTCACAAGCATGACTGTGGGATGGGTTGTGGCAGCCTGCATCCAGTAGGGCTCTTCTGTGAAGTCATTCCCCTGGGACAAGAATGTTTGACGCCACCAGAGTTCAGAGACCTGCAACTTGCAGTGCAAGCACACAAGGTGCTCAGTAAAGACAAGACTCACAAACCTTAGAGAACCAATGATAAATGTGGGGGTTCAGCCCTGCTAAGGAACTGGAGGGCAGCTGCAGCACCAGCATCCTGACACTGCTGTCCTGCAGCAGCTCTCTGTGGGAGCTGAGGCAAAGGTCCAATGTTGCTCATTCTATGGTCTTTAACATCAATACAAAAAATGCCTGTATGCACTTGAATTTTTTTTTAATTATCTATATACCAAAACTCTGCAAGTATTGACAGGCATAAGCCTATTGATATTACCATATCATAAACCTTCAGTCTGAAAATCTGGGAGAAGGAAGACATAAGGGTGAATTCAAGACAGAAGAAAACTCAGTGTGGCATTAACCCCCTTCGCATACTTCCCTTCCCACATGGACATTGTACTGGGCTGTTACATTTGAGGAGTTCATGTTTTCCTGGGCATGTTCTTGTTAACGTATTTGCTCTCTAAGGTCTTCATAGTGGTGTGCAAGGCAGCATAAAGCTGTCATAGTTTTCTCTCTGTTTATCAGTATTACTGCTTACAGTCACAAAAACACCCTCATCTTAGAGGCATAATTTATGGGTGTTTCTGTCCCTCCCCACCTAGGAAGCTTCTAAAATGAGAAAAAATGTATCCTTGCAAGAATTATAAGTTTTATAAAACTCCTAATCATGTAAATCAGAGTAAACCTCCTGTGAAATAAAAATGAAAACTTGGCTCCACTGAAATCAAACATAAACCTTTTATTTCAAGGTGGACAGAATTTCACATAAACCTGGAAGAGAAATGGGCTGCGATGTCTGGTTTATTCTAGTGCAGGGTAAACATCCCCAGCAGAGTACCAGGCTACTTGAGCTCTTCAAGTCGAGGAACGTAAAAGCCAGAGATCTCATGCCAAGTACCCTGCTTGGCTCTACCCAAAATGAGGAGTAATTCTTATGTATCACACAGGATTTCAACACGCTCTCAAATGCAAATACCTAGATTTGCTCCATCCAAAACAAAACAGTGGCTGCAGGTGTGTGGAGTCCTGCAGCTCCTCTCTTCCCTGGTGTCTCTGAAACTGAGTTGGCTGGGAATATGGATACCCACAGGGCACTACCCCTCAGCTTAGAAGCATGATGCACAGCAGCCATTTCTGATTACCAGTGTAACAACTGCAATCCAAATAACCCCTTCACATGAAATCAAAAGCAGGCTTGCCAAGTTGCCCTTCCCTGCTGCTTTGTGCCCCAGAATAGGTAACATTAAAGACACTTTGGCCATGGGTTTGTTTATCCAGCATTTTCTGATTGACATATAAACCAGAGCACACTAAATGCATGTATCTGTGTGTGTATTTGCATGCAGTCCCACACATTTGAGCCAATTTCTTACAGCAGTCTCCACTAATAAATTTTATCCATCACTGGTCCTCAGGTTCCTTCAGTTTCTCAGCAGAGAACCTGGGGAGCCAGCTCAAGGGGAAGGACTGCTGCTCTTTAAACACTGTGTGCCCCCCTTTATGAAATGCTGGTCTCAGGAGGAGGCAGAGCCTGGCTTGCAAAGGATGAGTAATTGCCTTCTGGAAGTGAGCTGCAACACTCTGAGCATCTGTGCCTTCAAAACGTAGTTTTCAGTCCCCATCTGCAGGCAGGATGGAGCAGGGCAGCTCAGCACCCCAGGTGGCTGGGGAGCACTGAGCAGAGCTGGGGTAAAGCCATGGCACCGCAAGGGAGGATGAAGAACAGCTGTTCTGTGCAAATCATGGCAGTGATCTGCAGATAAATTCTAGTCTACCCTTCATCACTTAATCACCAGCCAGAGATTTAAGGGTCTGGTCTCCTCACATGGATGTAAAGGGGCAGCTGCTGTGCAATTCTGTCACAGTCAGGCCCTGCAGAAACTTGCGGTGTGAATCAAGTGCTGAGGCTGATGCCTTGCTCTGGTGACTCAAAGCACCCCTCAAACAACAGCAGCTTCCCAAGCCTCATACCAGACTGGAATTTCATGACAGCTGGAAGTGAACTACCTGCTCAGACAGCAACATATGGATCAATTACATGAGTAAATCCAGATCAATTCCCATATTTCCAGCTCAAGGAAACAACTAATGATGAATTTGGGGAGAGGGGTGCGTGCAGTTGAACTCAAACTCCATGGCACCTCTACGGTTGCTTGCTGCTCCCTCAAACACACCAATCTCCTGCTATACCAAAGATTTTATCTGCTTGATAAATTAGTGCCTAAACTCTAACACAGTAGGCAAATTTTTCTTACTCCCTACACTGGAAAGTGGTGATTGAGACCAAGGTTTTGAGCTTCAGCCCAAGGCAAAAAAAAAGCACAACTCAATCAATACTTTCAGGTAAGATACTCTTCCCTTCAGCTGAGGAAGCATGAGGAATCCAGAGGTTTTGATTAAAGTCCACCTTCCAGCCATTCCTCATTTTAGGAGGTTTCACCATTGTCTAAGTACTCTCCCTTGCCTGCTCACAGACAGCTTGTTAATATAGGTAATATTAGTCAAATTTGTCAAGAGCAATTTAAAATCCCATCAACATCAGTAAACCGAAAAGGATAACATTAAACCCTAAGTCCACCTAGTCAAGAACTGTGCTTTCACTAGTTTCTAATGAAAATTACTTTGTACTAAGTTTGTCTTCATTTTTTTGTTGTGACACAGTCCTTTAATTAATACATTTTTACAGCCAAAGTAATGGGTTTTCTCTATCATATCTGCCTGATAATATATCTTCTAAGAAAAATGAGATTAATCATTATTTTAAAACATTGGCTTCATGGCTTTTTTATTTCATTTATGATATCTGCATAGATAAATCAAAAAAAAAAACAGTTTCCATCACCTTCCCAGAATGGGATTAATTTACCATAACGAAAATGGATGGGGGCATCAGAAGTGCTCACTCCAAATATTCTCGCAGTGACTAATACCATGAATATGAAAGGCTATCTTCACTGATTCTAAGTTGCAGATAGATCTTGGCAGAAAGGAAGACAGAGGAAATGAACGTAATCACTGCAAAATATGTAAAAATGACAGAGAGAGCAAAGTCTAGACAATATGAGATGATTGCCTTGCTCTCCAGCTTGAAATGCAAAGCTCGTCTTCTGACTGTTCCGAGGTTTAAGCTGCTGAACACACATCTCTCTTCAAACCCATATGGGCAAGTAATTTGCCATATGTTTTAGTACATGGCTCAAGTACCCATAGATGTACCACTGCTAATGCTGAAAATAGAAAAAAAGCAAGAAATGCCACCCATGTCTCTCTGACACATCAACAAGAGGGTGGAGCATTCCAGGGTTGTTTTAAAAACAATACCAGCCCTCTGGAGACAGACCATTTATAATGCTGCTGATGCTTTTGAGAAAGCACGCAGGATCACTCTTGAGGAGAAAAGACAACGCAGAAAGAATCGAGCCTTGCAGAATATACCATCTAAGGAGTCTTTCTGCTGTGTCTTTTGCAACCGGACGTGTCTATCTCCTATTGGCCTTTTTAGCCACCAACGCGCTTGCAAGAAACGTGGGTAGAGCCCTTCCCAAATCTTCGTTCGCGAAGCCTAGCCATGAAGATGAATGAAGATGAACACAGATAAAACCTCCTAAAATTCACTTCCCTGGTTTTCTGAAAGATCTTGTGTCCCTTCAGATTCCAAATGTGGCACTCAGGAGGATACATGCAAATTTAGCTCCATGCTATGAGCTGTAGAAATACAGCTCTCTCTTTAGGAGGTATCTGAATTTCCCAATTGTAACAACAGTGTAAGACAGAGAACACAGCATATGCTGAGTTTGTGCCTGAAGACAGACAGCTGCTTAGATTCTATGTAGAATTTTCTATTGGATGGGAGTCAGAATTGATAAATATAGAACATGATCTGAAGCAAGACAGTAATCAGCAATGCATTGGTCCTATCATCTTCAGCTCCACAACTATTTTGGAAAGTACTTAGACACAGATGGGGTCTGGACTGAGGAAACCCACACTATGCATAACATTTTCAGGCAGTACCTGAGAATCCTGGCACACTAGAGTGTCAAAAGAATGGCTCTCAGAAGTTAATTTCTCTAAGTATGCCGTGTCTTTCATGACCAGCAAAAGAAATTTTAAGTTGTAAATAGCCTACATTGGGAATAAGCTTAGAAGGCGAGAAAAGGAACACAGTGTAACCTGCTGTCCAGTTATCAGGGGTCATGGGGATACAACTAGCAGGACAAGTTTGAAGTCCAAACACTACACTGTTGAAAAGGCAAAATGAAGCTAATTAAAATGGGCACTTAAGAGCTGTTAATAAAACAGTTTTCTGTTAGAAAATACTTCACTAATTAGTAAATAGATAAAAATATGTAAGTTATCACATATTATTTCTGTCCAAATATGCCATAATATGTTATTGAAGCTTTTCACTTTGATTTCAGTATGTACTTTAGTTTGTTTGCATTTTGATTTTTACACGGAAGGATACCTTGTGACACAATGACACAGTCCAAAAGGTGATTAAAATTGATACCTTAAATCCTGGTGAAAGAGGACTGAATTTTGGTTTAATATTTTGAAAATAGAAACAGTTATTTGGAAGCTGCATGTCCAGGAGTCTTAATAAAATTTAACTCCTTTGCATAACTAAAAGTGTCTGAAGGTTTGTGTTCTTGCAATAAAGTGCAATTCTGACAACCACCATTTGCATTCCGTGGACCAGATTTCTCTCCCAAACACACTTTAATTCAAACAGAATATATGGATTTAAATCAAAACAGGCAGACTCAGACATACGCTGGATGTTACTAAAAGATATAGCTCACCGCATTGCTTCTTTTCTTTTTTACCATCAGCCATAGAAAGCTTTATTCCAAGCCTGATCACACTTTCAGTTACAAAACACGTGGCAAAAAATAACAGTTAACACGCAAGATCTGCCATATTTCTACTTGCCTCTATTCTTATACTGGACTTTCCACATTGAGGGATGGAGAATAAATCTCTCTCATTTTTTAACATAATGAATATACCTAAGGGTAGCAAATAAAGGTTTTTATTATTTTTAATTTCATTTCAAAAATCTTTTACTTTCCCCAAGCCACCATTTGTTAGTGCAACAATCCAGCACAGTGCTAGTTGCTGAGGTATACATGGTTAAACTAATTTCATCTTCGACCAAAACCGCAGTGTTTTCTCTCCCTCCTTTTTTTTAAAAGTAATGAAAGCCATATATTCACTATTTCACATTTCTAAAAATAATTCCACTCTAGAGTAAAGAATGGTTTTGTAATAATGACAGGCTGTAAAAAGCAACAGCCTTAGCTTTGATCACCCATAGAACTCCTGCTGTCTTTTTTTTTTTTTTTAAATATATTTTGTGCAAAATTAAGTTCTGTGTAGGTCTGTACCATAATTTGGAAAAAACTGTGTATAAAATGTACTTAATTTTTAAAAACAATCCCAACATCAAACAACAGAGAAAGGAGAAACAGATCAGATACAGCTGAAGTTTTCACATGAGAAACTAAATATAGTATGTTCTTAAAGCTCCAGTAATACATTCTTCCAAAATCCAGAATGCACTTTGGTCATTATTAAACATTAGTACAGAGGCAAATAAAATACAAAATGCTTGTTTGTGTTGCTTTATATATAAAAATATTTTTATACCACATAAGTTTACTTCAAATCTTTCAAGATTCTGAAAATTAGCAAACATAGTGCAACGTTCAGATTCTTGTCACAAAATTACTTATAATTTTTCAATATGAAGCCGCTATTTTAAAAACATAAAATGTAAGAATACTCGCACCTGGTGATATTAATCCTCCCAAAAGAATTTGTAGAAGGAAAATTTGTTCGAAGTTAATTTATAGAATGAAAGTTTGTTCCAAGTAACTTAACTCTACAGGGATGAACACATATTTTTGTCACACTGAAGAATCAGGAGTCTATATGACTGTCCATGTGGGAGGCAGGAACAGAAGGCAGAGGGAGAGGTGTGACACCCACGGCTGTGAAACCCCAGTGGAAAGCACTAGGGAATGACACCTGCTGGGGAGGAATGGGAGGTTATTTGAAGACACATATTTGCCCAATACCAGGCTTCATGAGCTCTGCTGCTCACCAGAGAAACTTCTTCTCTGTGTTTAGCTGTTCTTAAACTTCAATGTGGTAAGAATGGCATATACTATAGTGTACAAGAGGAGAGCATCTATCTATCTTTTGCTAAGTCATTCATAGCATTCCTTTCACCAGTAAATAATTCTTGTTTAAATACTCAACTTCAACATATAATACATACTGCTCCATAGTTCACCATAATATATTCCAATTAATATACATTTATATGTATAAAGTTTCTCATTAAAAGTAACAATAAAAAGTGCACATGCACAGTCAGAGCTGCACAGAACAGCCCAGTATTTCAAATAAATACAATATTTAATTTTTATCAAAATATCATACAGCATGGTAACCATTTACAATTATTGCTCTAATAAAAGTGTTTTCAAAGAACACTTGTTGACTTGTTAAATAATATCTTATTAATATCCCAGGATATTTAAACTGCAGCCTAAATGAGTTTAGATCCTGGAATTACTCAAAATATTAGAAATTCCCACTTGTTTCTAATAGTAATATAAAATATTTCTGCTACCTATCATACTGTATTGTCAGTACTTCATGTTTTGTATATGTCTCATTTTTTCTATTGCAACCAAACATTTATTGATGTTATGTTGTCCTCATAAATGACTGATACAAATTAAATATTCTAAGCAATTTTACCATACTATCAAATGATTTCCATATAGTGTTACTGTAATTAAAAATGTCCAGCATTGGTTTCAGCTGTAATAACAGAGTAATTTAGTGTAATCTATTTTCAGGATTTCAAGTTCTCAGACACACGGTTTTTGACCCTTTGCAAATCTGACCTTTTCCAAAACTAAACAAGTAAGTTTGAAAATAAAATATGTCAACTAAAATGAACATAAACCAGGGAGAAGATGAAATAAATATAAAGATTGCACAAGACAGATGTAAACACTTCAGTTTTCCAAATGACATCCTTGTAGAGGTTGTAGCATCTGAAATACAGATTCAGTGGCTGCTTTGAGGCAGTTTTGTCCATCAATGAGCTTTTCTATAACACTGTTATTTCATCTTCTTTCTATACCGTCAAGATTTGATCTTCCAGAGCTGCAAAAATTAGAGCAGTACATCAAGATTACTTCTCATCTCAGTTTTCTGTTTACCAGAATTGCAATAGCAACACAATTTTTTTCTTATTATTTCATTTGCTGCATATTCTATGATACACAAAATACATTTTACATTCATTTACTTTTAATAGAAAAAAAAAGGTAGATAGAAGCAAACTCAATGGCAAATCAAGGGCTCTGTGACAACTACAAGCTTGTGGAAACTAACATGCCTCTAAACCTGAATCTTTAAATAGTTTCCAGAGCTTGTAGTTCAAATGGGGCCAGAGAGAAGGACCTAACGAGACAGTCCTTCAGCCAGGACAAAATAACACTGTGTAGGATTAGTCATGGTAATACTGTAACTACTGTAATGCTTTACTGCAGTGCAAGGATAGCCAGTATCTTTCTGCATCTCTTAAAGAGCTACATCGTCAGCAGTGAGGAATTAAAGAGAGAAATCAAATCTGGGATATGAAGAAAAATTAAAGAACGTCTTGCATTCATGTGTAGAAATATCTCCATGTTTATGTCTAAGAATTCTTGTAAGTCACAAAGCCATGAAAATGAAAAAAAAATGTTAAAAGGGCTGCTCTGACAAATACATCATTATTCTTCTGATACAGCTTTAACTTATTAACCATTTTCAAACAATAAATATTCCAGGTCATACAGCTAAGAATTAACTAGGCTACAACGTATGATCCATCTATCACAATATTCTGAATGCCATGGTGGGAAAAAAGGATGTTTCTCAAGTACTTACCTTTAGATTAAATCCAAGCAAGTCACTGATGACACCAGAAACAGCTGACAGGATGACAACTTGGGTGATGTTGTAAAGCAGTGGATTCATTGTAAGCCCATATAACCTAAAGGGACTGTCCAGTTCCTAATAATGCAAAATAACAGAATCATTAAAAAAGCAAAAATTACAGAAAGGGGTTTTTGTTCACATACATATTAAGCAATATTAGATAGTTTAGGAAGTTTTCAAATCCCAGTGGAGTAAAATATTCTATATTATTTGGAAAATAAAAAACAATGCGCAGGAAAATATCCGTCACGTTAACTGACTGCTGACTGATTGTGTCTAAATAACCCTTCAAAAAAATTGGGGGCTACTCATCCATAGCATTTATCAATATGCACATGGAGCCAACAAAATGGAGAGCTAGGTGCCATCATTTCAGAATTCCTTATAATTTTCCAGAAATCACTGTTGGTGTTGAAATAGTGAGAGACAGCAGAACAACAAAAAATAAGAAAGCTTTTCCATAATGACAGAAGGCTACCTCACTACTATGAAAAATTAACAGTATCTTTCCTATTGCAATTCCTTTCATTTTCCATTAATTTTGAGACTAATTACTATCAGCATAACCAGAAAGGACGATAAAGGACAAAAATACTAATACTCATTTGACTGCTAATATTTTACTTTTTTTTCTATTGGAAGAAAAAAATAGCCCAAATTAATCTGCAACAAAACTTGAACAGAGAGGCTATTTCACCAATTTTCAATTACTGGTGTGTGATTACAGTTACCCAAACTTTTCTGGCCTAGAAATATGTCAAATAAAGGAAGGAGAAAAGTTTCAAGATATAAGAGTGGATTATACAAAATACAACAACTATCCACTGCTTTGGTCCTTTAATATTTTCTAGCTTTAAATTCATCCTCATCCCTCTACTGCATTTCATCCTGGGCCTTGAACAAGGCCTTATAAACCCTTTTTTAATAAAGAAGAATTTCAAAGCTCTGACTCTTCTTTCAAAAGAGGTAAAATAAGAATGAACAACCTTTACATTGGTATAAAACTCTGCTGCAAATACAAAAGATATAAAAGACATGATTCTGAGAAGGACAGCAGAGAAGTTCTTTAAGGAAAAAGTTTTTAGATTTTGGATTCATCTTACCAATATTCTGAGTAAGAATATTCAATATAATCCAGTCTTTAATAAAAGCTTAAAGATCAAAAACATCCAAAATCAAATTAAAACTCATGATTCCCTTTAGTTACTGGACATGAAATACATAATTGAGCTGATCAGTAACTACCAAGAATTTATTTAAAGCTCATAGCAGGTAGCTTGAAAATATCACCTTTGGGCACATTCTCACAGTAACTAAGTGATGTCCTGGGTCTGGGATTTGTGCCACAAAAGCCAAGTCCCCTACTGAAAAGGCCATGTCAGTTGATACACTTCTGGCAAGAGTAAAACATGAATACTTCTTTTGAAACACTGAGAAAAGTATGAAAAAGACGGAGCGAATCAGTCCAAGGGTTGACCAGCATCCTGCCACCAACTGCAGCCACCTACCTCCTCACAGCACACAAACATTTCAGCTCATGACATGATTCCCTGAACCTGTTGTGCTTTGTCTAGTCTACTTGTCCAGTCTCTCCTTGAAACCAGATAATTTTCTGCATCCACAGTGTCCTTTGACCAACAGTTGCACGAGTCTGTTACCTGATTCACAGAGAATACTTCCTTTTGTTTGCTCCAAAACCAACTCCTAAAAGCTTTGCAGTCCCTTATTCTTATATCAGGAGATAGAGTCAGTAACTGACTAACCAGGCTCTCCTTAATGCTGTAGCATAACTCTCAAGCTGTTGCTTTGTCAGCTTTGAGTCCTTTCTGACACCATCAGTCCTCTCATGGAAAGTGAGAGCTGGCTAGGTTAAAAACCGAGTTTAAGCTTCATTTTAAGCACTGCTCCTCGGCACACAGGAATCAACGGGTTAAGTGATCAGAATTATTCAACGGGTGATAGAATGAGACCACAAGGCCTCAAATCACCACTGCATCAACACTCAAAACAGACAACAAAATTGCAACCCCATCCAAGGGTTCATCATCCTGTCTACCCTGAAGTACCTCCTCTCACACTTCTCATATACTGTTAAAGAATAAAACTTACTGTACGTAATAATAATTTGCAATCCGCAACAATAGCAACACAACAGTGTATGAACAAGTAGTATCACTGTGAAAGAGATACAGAGCAGATTTAAACCCAAACACACTGTACTGCCTGCAAAAGTAACACAAGTGGTTCTTTAACCAACCTATTCTGCTTGTTACATATAACACAGGAATACTATTTTAATCTTACCTTCAATAACTTAGTAGCAAGTTTTAAAACATTGTTCACTAGTGTCAGTTCCTCCTTCTTATTAGGCTTTTTCTCCATTTTCAAGTACAAGTTTATCTGATTTAAAAAAAAAAAATTACAAGTATCACCGCTTATTCAGAATTTAAAGGAATTAATTTGAAAATATTTAATATTACAATGAAGTGATTACTTAGCAGGCAACTGACAGAACTGCAATGACATTTCTGCAAGCAAGCAAATTTTTTGTTTCCTCTTTAATGTTTAAGAACAAGCACTAGCTCAGCACCACAGGAAAATACAATGTTTTATGATATAAGAAAATACATTTGACACTATTATAGCAACAACTTCAAAGTTTAGTCCAATTCACAAATTAGGCAAGAAAAACCACCATGAATGTAAGGTTTGCATAATTTTTCCTTCAACAATTGCCTGAGGTTTGTCAATTCATTCCCAGGTTTTTACACTAGTAGGCAGACCTTACAAGGCTTAAAATCCCCAGAAGTTATTGAATAGACTAAAATGCTAAAACACAATTCTCCTAAAGTGTAATTTCTTTTAAAAGATTTTAGTATAATTTAGTACTTCATGAGGACCTTGAGTGCAGAAAATCAATCTTTCCAGTGCCTTGAAATATTTGAAAAATTATTAAACTCTTCATTGCTATAGAAGAACAGTATATTGAACATTTCAATATTTCTGTGATGCAGACGTTTTCAGGTCACTGTTTCTGAGAAAGTTAAGAGTACAAATTTGCTCTCTTTTGACTTTCTAGCAATTTTGAAATATCAGCTTTCATTTTCAAACAACATATGTTTGATATTCTAGATCAGACAAAGGCTAGTTTTTTCTTTTCTATTGCATACAAAAGCAAATCAAAAGAAAAAAAAATCTTTTAAAGCCATTAATTTCTTATTTTAGGATGACAACCTTCAACAAAATAAAAAATGAACAATTTAGCAATGTATTGAAGTTGTTCTTCAGATGACACCAAGCTACAGAAGCAAAGAAGCAGAAAGGAAATCATGCTATATGATGCTATGATATATTTAACCATCTTGTTGTAAGGTGGTTATTGAAACAAGGGCCCACAGACATCTAAATAAAACAACTGAATATTATCAGATCTCCCTAAAAGGCCACTGTAAGAGTCTTACAGATTATAAAAAATAAAAAAAATGCCTAATATATTACAAGGTATATTTTGCTCCTGAACTATCAATTTCATTTTAAAGTCAAATTATGCTTTCAGAGGCAAAGATATTCCAGCATTTAAACAAAAAACTACTGATTTCAACAATTCAAGATTTATAAATGGGACTAAACTAAAGGCTCTAATTAGCAGCTCTGAAAACCCTAGAAAGGTTCAAATCCCTTTTAACAGTTCATAGAATCATGGAATCAACATCCAGGGACGGTGAATCCACCACCTCCCTGGGCAGCCCATTCCAATGTCTGATTACTCTCTCTGTAAAAAATTTTTTCTTAATATTCAACCTAAACCTCCCTGGCACAGCTTATGATCATGCCCTCTTGTCCTACTGCTGGTTGCCTGGGAGAAGAGACCAATCCCCACCTGGCTACAACCTCCTTTCAGGGAGTTGTAGAGAGTGATGAGGTCTCCCCTGAGCCTCATCTTCTCCAGGCTGAACAACCCCAGCTCCCTCAGCCTCTCCTCACAGGACTTGTGCTCGAGTCCCTTCACCAGCCTTGTTGCTCTTCTCTGGACCTGCTTCAGCACCTCAATATCCTTCCTGAACTGAGGGGCCCAGAACTGGACACAGTACTCAAGGTGTGGCCTCACCAGTGCTGAGTACAGGGGAAGAATCACTTCCCTGGACCTGCTGGCCACACTGTTCCTGATCCAGGCCAGGATGTCATTGGCCTTCTTGGCCACCTGGGCACACTGCTGGCTCATGTTCAGCTTCCTGTCAATCCAAACTCCCAGATCCCTTTCTGCCTGGCTGCTCTCCAGCCACTCTGTGCCCAGTCTGTAGGGCTGTAGGGGGTTGTTGTGACCAAAGTGCAGGACCCAGCACTTGGCCTTGTTGAACCTCATCCCACTGGAATCAGCCCAACTCTCCAGTCTGTCCAGGTCTCTCTGAAGAGCCCTCCTGCCTTCCAGCAGATCAACACTCCCCCCCCAGCTCAGTGTCATCTGCAAATTTGCTAATGGTACACTCAATTCCCTCATCCAGATCATCAATAAAGATATTAAATAGAACTGGGCCTTTGAATCAGGAGAGGAGTTTAAATGTGTATATGCACAGACATACCACATCTATTTTGAGACTCAAAACTGGCAAGATAACAACTTTGATCAGACCATACATTGTTTTTTGCTCAACAAATGTACAAGATCAATTAAAAACATTTTCAGAAGGACTTGAAAAATTACAGGCACACATCATACAGTCAAAAAATGATCTTAAATTACATCAAATGACTCATACTGGTGCCTCTAAGCCTAGTCACTTAAACAGAAATTGGGATATAGCCATCTCAATATTCCTTACAACTTTTGAACAAAGTCACAGACTTATTTCAGGAACTGAGCTTCAGGTTGTAAAGTGTTGTTTCACCACATCATAATTAACTCCCTAATCCAAACTATTTTAATACATCCAAAGTGTCTGACACCTACCAGATGAAGGACTTGTTTAGATATAAAAATATAGGTCTATACAAATTCTCACCTGCTCTGTAAGTAATATTGAGGTATTGCTGTACTTTTTACTAGTTTCAGATCCAAGAGTAACAAATCTTAAGAGAAAAAGAGTTAGTGAAATGCACCAAATTACGAGTTCCCAGTTGTAGTGACAATCAAGAAAGATCTCATGCATGTGAAGCAGCTGCAAACAAAAGAGTGAAAAAAAAATCAAAACTTAATTTGAAATAATAATTACATTACAATATAAGACAATAGATATCTTCATAACTCTGAGAAACATTTCCCAGTAATGAATATATGTCAGGTTTTTAGGCATGTAATAGTTTTGATACAGTGTTGATTTAAAATTATGATTCAAAGATACAAGGTTTGAGACAATATATGTTCTGAAAGGCTTAATCAGAACTTAAGACTTTTTTTTCCATGTCCCCAAAGTAATAGAAAAAAAATACACTCTGAGGCAATTTTAAACTCATGTTCAAACTTGCAAAGACACTATATGGGATAAAAACCAAAATACACCCTCAAATGTACTAAATTTTATGTGAGAGTTATTGGTAAATTACATTCTTAATAAAATACTTACAGTTAGCTACCAAGCAAACACAACAGAGTTAACTACGGAAGAAACTGTAAAAACCAGCAGCTGTTCAGAAGCTCCCTTGCAGTTTGAAACAGAAGCTCCAAGAAAAATCTTAGGCAGTAGAAATCTTCTTTAAACATAGATTTGCTTACCAAAAGATATTCCACTAGAGGGCAGGCAAATATAGCCAACAAGCTTGTTTCTCACAAAAATCATCAAGGTCAGTCTCAACTGTCTTTGCAAAAGTGTGTTTTCATGTAAAATGTTAAGGGAAAAAAAGTGTCCCAGAAACCACAATGAAAAATGAAAGAGGACAGAGATTTAAAAAAATAATAATGAATCATAGAATATCCTGAGTCAGCAAGGACTCACAAGGATCATTGAGCCCAATTCTTGGTCCTGCACAGGACAATTCCAAGAATCACACTGTTCCAGGTGCAGAATCCACCACCTGCCCTTGTTAAACTCCACACCAGTGGTGATTGCCCAGCCTCTTAATTTGTCAAGGTCATGTTAGGAATTATGCTATAAATGAGTTTCTTTAGCTATTACAGAAAAATAATCAAGTAAATTAAATGAACAATACAAAATGGAGCTCAATCTTCTGAAAAGCTGTAACAGCTATTACTAGTTTTTCACTGTGGTCTTCTAACTTACTAGAAATCACTATGCAAAAGGCACTCAATTATTTTAAAAACTATTTAAGCCATGGTTGTCTATACAAGCAAGTTTTCCTCACCTGTGCACAACAGATAAACACAACTGAGATAGTCAGTAGGAAGGCAGATGAAACTATTACATCCACAGAGCGCTGAGGACCTCGACGCTGAAAATAAAGGATATGCAGATACGTGAATGAAAACCTACTAACTTAGCAGTGATATACGGCATAACTAATTAGAATCACATCTTGAACATGTGTTTCATCATGGCTCACAATGTGGCAATGTAAGTTGTATGCAACATACTAGAGACTTTTCTGCTAGCAGTAGTAAGACAAGACTCCAACTCTGAACACATTCAGACTTTATTCCAAGGTGAAAACTAGACATTTACTTTCTCACAATCTGCAGACACTGCTGGTCCAGGGTCACTAAAATGAAGCAAATATGGGAGACATGCACCAATAGTAAGTGCACAGGAGATATATACTCAGACTAGAATACCAATCTTCCATCATCAGCATAGGAGATATTTTATGTTAAAGCATAAATACACATTGTTTTAAAATTTTTAAAATTTATTAAATGTATTCAAATTTTATTAAAGCAAAAATATTCATTATTTTACCTTTAGATAGGACCTGAGAGAAAGCCACATTTTTATATTCTGTACTTTCTTCAAGCGGAAGTGAGGAACCTCCGATTTTCTTGCCCTTCTGGCAGATGTTAGATGACCAAAAAGTTTGGCAAAGAGTAGCCTCTGTAGAGAAGAAAAAAAAAATTAACTGTTAATTGATTTTCAGGGGTATTAAAAAAAACAAACGGAGAAAAGGGTTCGCATAATATGTTAAAGTAATGTACAGTGTACCAGTGTAAATTAAAATATGTTAATATAAAGCAGAAATAAGTGCAGCATATTATTAAAATGAGGAAATACACTAAACCTTTTAAAAGTCTCCATATTCTAATGATAAAATTTAGCTAAACTTGGAGTTCCTTTCTTCAAATTTTAGACAACAGAGCTGCTAAGCTTTTAAAATTTTGGAAAAAAACCCTCAAACCTGCCCATTATTTACATTAGTGAGCACCTGTATTACAGGAGTTACTTTCAACAGAAATTATAATTATTAGAAGCAGGTTAATTCTATTCTACTGCATTACATCACATATTTTGACCACAATTTAAGAACACCAAGTATAAAAAACTTTCTTTTGCAGACCAATAAATGTCTATATTCTGCAGCTAATAACATTGCTCTCTTAAAAGTTTAAATTGCAGTAACAAGCAATAGGAGAACAGGTGCATTAGTTCAGACAGCAGCTCTCATGATCTCCAGCCACAGAAACAACCTAACAACAAAGCAGTTTGGACTCTTGGACAGGGTCTGGATGGAACCCTTTTGGATGCCCCACCCCTGGAAGCGCTCTCAGCCAGATTGGAAAGGGCTTTGAGTAATCTGGTCCAGTGGAAGGTGTCCCTGCCCATGGCAGGGGGGGTTGGAACAAGATGGTCTTTAAGGTCTCTTCCAACCCAAACCATTCTGCGAATTAAAGTTTTTGAACGAAACACACTGGTAGAACAAACAGCAAATTTATAGAGTTCTTTTATTGAAGCTCCTTCTGCTTGTGGAAACCTGAGACAAAGTGGGACATGATTAAACATTGGGTTAATGCATTCAGCCAGTTTTCCCTCAGAAATGCTCTCCGGGAAAAAGTATCTTTAGGTACAGAGACTTCAGTCCATTGCAACTGAATCATCTAAACTGCAAGCCCACTGAAGTATTTGTCATCACTGACCTATGAATCAGAGGGTGCTGAAGAAAACAAGTTTAAAATATCCAAAAAGTCAAAAAATGCAAACATCAAACTTTGTTTTGCTTCAGATGAAGCCTCTTGGTTTGCTGTTCGTACCTGTTTATACGTCCTCTCTGCTACACATAGCAAGAAAAAGAAAATCCACACTAGAGACACACGGACCACGAAACTTATAATAACCATTGAGAGAACCAGAATGTCTCCATCTGATCCAAATGCAGTCATGCAAAGTTCAGTGGCAGAATGTGTAGCTAGTTGTTCTAAGTCTTTAGCTTGGGAAAGTCGAAAGACAAAGGGCATTAATCCCAAGATTAAAGATATGACATTTCCAAAAATCTGATAACCAATTCCTGGTATATAGCTGTTCACCTAAAAACAAAAGAAAACAAGGCATATTTTTAAGTTTGGAATGAATTTGGCACTAATTCAAGAAATAAAATATTAATGTTTCTGTCTTATCACAAAGAACACTTTATAACCTGATAAGTTACATGAAAACTTCAACCAAGCATCTTCATACTTTACTGTTAAAAAAAAGGAAGTCCTCAAAGAGCACTTACTGCACAGGAACCAAGACAAATAATTTAAAAACCCAACAACATAACATTGTAAATAAAATCTGGTGCATGTTCCTGTACTGAAAATTCATTGAACACTGAATTAGCAAAGTGCACTAATCAGACTGTGCTGCTTAGATCCTGTATGTTGCTCCTACTTATGTTCTGGTTTTAAGTTGTATGCTTTTTAATGGAATCAAAGTGTTTACAGTACAGACATGACCAGAGTTCTGTTGTGTTCGCTATGGTTTTGCTAAGTTTACTTCTGCTGTAGATTGTCCCCAAATATGTGAAGTTTCTGAGTCAGGTAGAGATCAGAACTAGGTTTGTGAATACGTTGCTTTTTAACAAGTTGGAGATGGTAAGTATCAACTTGCCAGAACTAGGCAGAGTTAAGCTCTGCAAGGATTTTATGTCCATCTCTACAAAATATGGTCTATATTGAATAGGAGCATGACATCAATTTAAAGTTTGTCCAACTGTTTTCTGAAAAAGAGTACTAGGAAAAAGAGGGAGGACTAGTGAGATATCCCACTGATCCTCTTAGATGTTTGCTTCTTAAAGAGTAAAGCTTTCTTTTCCAGTCCTAACTTTAGCATTCAAATACTCAGATCTGTTTATTCCTAACCCAACACATCATTTGATCATCAGAATGAAGGAGATGAATACAAATATTCACAGCATCGCTTTGTAACAATAAGAGAGGGTGGCTGTGTTAGCGAGTACCTAACAATGCAAACACATTTTATTGTCCCAACACTCAAAATTTGCTAATTCTTTAATCTGCTAGTTACAAGTAAATCAGTGATGTAAGCCATAGAACAATAATATGAATAACACATACTTTAAAACAAAAACCCAAACAAACAAATAAAAAAACGCACAACCAAGCAAACCAAACAAAAACCACGACAAAAAAAAAGAAAACATCAACCATAAAACAAGCTTTTTGGTAGTGTTTAGACCTCTAAATACAATATTTGCATAAAGTTAAACGAATACTCACCCTATTCATTATCATACCACTGATTTCAAGCACAGACATATCTGCTTTCTTGCAGTCATTACCCTCCCATACAATTGCACTTATTTTTTCTAGTCCTGGATTCAAAGTGTGGATCCAAGGTAAATGACTCTGGGAAAGATAAGGAAAATATTCCATCAGAGTGAAAAATCTATTGTCATGTCAATATGCCTTTGTCAGCAACACACTGACAAAAAACCACACTTTAGACTGATAAATATTGCTATATGGCATTTCTTTCTACTATATATTAACATCATTCCTCAAAATCATCCACTTCTTTTCCAAGAAACAGCTGTGAGTATAGGGGTCTCTCCTCCAAACTCTATTTTCTAATAGCGGTGAGTTACTGTGATTTAAGGATTTATTGGCTTTTTTTTCATTCAAACATATCAAAGAAGAGAGAAATATGAAAACTAGGATCTACTTAGAAGTCATCCTTAATTCTGCCATGTTTAATGGATTTTTAAATTATTATTATTCTTCCTCTAACATTCTGAAAAGTATTCTTCTCAGGTTGAGCCCAAGGAAAACACTTTTTTTCTATTTGCTCTTATTAATATTTGTGTACTTTACAATCCTTGTTAGGGATAAAGACCCCCCCCATATGCAAACTATATTTGGCAAGACTCGGAGGTCTCAGACTCAGAGGTAGGTGTCTAATCAATACAAGCTGCTCCAAGAGCCAAGCAATCCCCAGCCAACCTACTGAATGCACTTAGAGCTGAGGGACCTTTTTCTCTAACCACGGAGCCAAGTGAAAATTGAAAGATATGAAAAATGTTGAGGTGACAAGTTCTGCTGAGGCCATTTCTTGACTTTCCTCAGCCCTGTGTCACTTCTCTCCCATTCAGGTGATTAAAATTGCTCTCAGCTTTAGTCACCTGGCACTATGTGCATCACACTACTGAAAGTGGTGGTGCTGACTGGGAAAAGGGCATGATATTATTTTTTAATTTTAACTTATCATTGATTAAAAGTAAACCTTTATTTTATTTTTATTTTATTGCTTGCTTTATCAGTGTTTATCTGAAATCTTTGTATTCTGCTAAGTGCTCAATTATCTCCCTTTTTATTTCCATTGGATGAAAAAAAATTATTTATATTATTTAAACAACACAAACATTTTTTGCAGGACTTTCTTAGCCACAGATTCCCAAGGTCTTCCTCTAGAGGGAGTATCAACACCAGGAGCTGAATCTCAAAAATTCAAAATCTGCAATCAAATAGAAAACCCCTCAATTGCAGAAAACCCAAGTCAATATACATACTGCAATTCAACTCACTATTTCAAGGCTTACACTTTAGTGTTTTATGCAATGCAAGCAAGAAGAACTAAAAATAAATCAAAAAAGCAAAGACTGCATGAAATTCAAACTGTTATCTCTTTTGGTTTTGGGGGATTTTTTTTGTTGGGGGGCGGAGGGAAGGCTTGGCTTTGGGGCTTTTAAAATCAACAAATACATCATTTTCAATTCTGGCTATGAGTGAAGAACCTGTCTTTTGAAATTCCTTTCCTCAGTAGCATTAACATCGTCCCTTGCACGACATTCCTTAGTTCTGAAGATGCACTACCTATATACATGACTTGTTAACCCAGAAGAATATTTCACATTCTCTCCATCTCTTTACTTAAATGGTTTAAATTAGCCATGTAATTAAAGATAAGACATGTACTACAAATAAAACTGGCACTGAATGGCACACATGAACAGTTTTCATGAAATGAAGACTAAAACTTGATTGTTAATGATCGAGTATTAATAATGCATTCTGTCCACCATTAGCCTAAGACAGGTAACAACTGAAGTGCTATCCAAACAAACACCAAATTTTCATAAATTACTGTCTATATGCTGCTACAGAATACCATTAAAGAAGGGAAATAAAACTATTAGCTTTCAGGCAAAAAAAAAAAGTATATAGAATTAGACATATATAGTATACGCGTGACATCATATAAATACATATATATGACATTAGATACTGTGTACGTCATCTTTCTGCTTGATTTTTCTATATATACATTTATACATAAAAAAACAGAAAGATGCCTGATAAGTGCTTACAAAAAAGTAATTCCACTAGAGAAAAAAAAGAGGGGGGGAAGACCCCATCCAAGACCAAAGCAATAAAAAACAAACAGAAAAACAAAGGAAAACCTCAAAGAAATAAAACAAAAGCCCAAACCAGAAAAAAAACCAACCAAACAGAACCATGAACTAGAACTAAGATTCAAACACTCAAATGTTCTATAAGCTATCCAATTTTTGCATATTGTCATATCCTCTTCATTTGACAAATTAATGACTGAGTAGGAGAAATCAAATTTTCCTTGTTTTAGGAAATTCTATCAAATCGCTTTGGCTTTGTTATTTTCTGTTATAGAGTTCTTTCTCCCAGGCCTCCTGTGACGTGATAAAATGGAAAATTCTGAACTTGTGTGTAGTGTAAAAAAAATCAAAATTGGCAGATACCAACCTGATGAAAGGGGTCATCTCTGTATTCTTTCTTCACACATGGATTCACTTGAGGGCTTTCCACATCTGTCTCACTGGTACAGGACGAGTGACACTCTGCACAGTGCAACAGGTCCTCCCACAGCACATCTTCGGTTTCCGACTCCGGCCTTGCACTCTCAGAATCCTGCCTGGAGCTCGAACACCGAGAACTGCAGCTTGTACCAGATTTAGGTGTATCCTGAAATTGAAATTTGCTTTGGAATTAACGCAGCGGTTTTATTCTACACCGTTTCTTGGCAGAACAGTTATAAAGTTCAAATTAGTTAACCTGTGTTTATCTGGTTTTTTTATGTTCCAATCAATCATCTTTCTCACCAGAAAGATTTAGATGTTTATTGAAGGTGTGTCTGAGAGGTTGCACATTTTAAGACACTGTACAAAAAACCAACAATCCATGACTCCTGCTTTGTTGAGGAGGGGATCACATAAAGAAGAATCAAATCATATTAACTATTAAAAGGAAATAACAACTTTACAGATTTTTAGAACTCATTAGTTTAGAATTTAACAGCAACTATCAAGCTTCCAGCTATGTCTCAAACTTCTGAAGAATTGACTCTCAAAGTCTCCTAAAATCACATTGTTACTACTTACATATCTTCTCAAAGACAGAGTGAGCTTGTTTGCAGACAGTAATGCATCAGGTAGAGAGGAAAGGGTACACATAGCTAATGCCAGTTATATGCATAATCTGCATAGTCATACATAAAACTTTAATTATTTTAAATAATCTGCACTTGAGAAACAAGTATGCCTTATTAAACTCAAAGTTTACCCAGATGTTAGATAAAGAAAGAAAAATATTAAGTATGGGACATTCAAATCTCCCAGTGCATACACATGAAATAATCTATTGTTGTCTTCAGGACAAGAATGCAGAGTTTTTAACTACTTTCCATAATAAGCAGAATCCATTTCGTATAACACAGAGATGAAGTACTTTCTACTAATTTCTCTTGAGAACATACACAATTTTTTACACTGAAAAAAAATTAAGCAATGTTTCGACAGACATACTAACTTATTATGATTTGTAATGCATTACTATCTAAAGAAATGCTCTTCAATCTCTCTGAAAACTATGTATTTTATGTAAACAATTTTGTAAATAAATATTTAGAAAAATTTGGTCTGAACTCTCTCATTTTACAAAGTGAGGGATAACATCAATGCAAAAGAAGTCTGAACTATTTTTTTCTTAAAAATTAAAAATTAAGATATTTATAGAAAGTAGTCACTACTGGGTACCATTGAGGGCTGAAGTTAACAAAGTAAGAACATTAAAAAGAGCTTGCTCAAACAACAATTAAGTTGACAAGTAAACATGAAGGTAAAAGAAAATGCAGGACAGAATTTGAGAGTATATCCACTGACTTCACTAATTTATTTTTTTTTAATACAAAGAAAGCTTTCACTGATTGTAAAACTATTGTTTCATTTCCTTTGTAATTGTGTGGGGGAGGCGAGTTGGTAACAACAAAGAAAGGCTTCCTCTTTCATGGCATCAGTCAGACCAGTAAATGGGGAACAGGGTGAAAAAGTACTGCCAGAACTACACATGGAGCGAATTTTGTCTCTTTGGTTTCTGAAGGTATCTACACAGCCTTCCCTACCTCTGAAGTACTCTATGCAAGAGAAAATATATTTAAGCTAAGAACAGAAAAAATCAATTGTAACAGTGTCTTTCTGCTTCCTCTTGCCAAGCACTACAGCTGCACAAGGATACAGTCAAGAGACATCTGTAATATGAAACAAACAGTTCCAAGTATCGACCTGTTCAATTATCCTAAACCACACATGCAAAAGGCATTAAACACTCAAATCAATAAGCCTTCTGGATCTTTTTAACAAAAGTCTGTGAGAAATAAGTGAAAGAAGATCAGATCATCTAGTAAAGTTTCCCATGCAAAGCATCAAGGTTTTGCAGTTGTGATCAGAGAAAGCAATATCTGAACCCTTCTAAGGAGACATTTCTTATATCAAGCAGAGAGCCTACTCATGAGGCTCTGCCTATCAAACCCATCTGGCAGTGGACTTTTGTCAGAGCTGATTTTATTCTTTACACTCTTTGGTCACAGTCTTAGTGAAAATACAGCAATACAGCCTTTAAAGTGTTCTGTATATGTGTTAAGTTGCATACCATTAGCAAAAAAGAGCATAATTTTTTAAATAAATAAACAAATAAAACCACAATAGGATATCCCTTTCTCTTTCAATGTCTGAGTCCTTACAATTAAGGACTCTGCTAATATGGAATCTATGAACTCCCCTCTTCATGATGTCATGAAGTCTCTTAAAATTTCAGTATCTTTATGCATTAACAATTTCATTAAGACTTCAGGACAATATTTTAAATTGTTTCAACAAACATGAGCGAATGAAAACTCAGAGTAAATCAGACTTCTCCACAAGAAAGCTAGTGAATCCAAAATACAAACTAAATGGAGAGAAACAGGAACAGCAGCACAATGAAAATTTGTATATTGTCAATTACTACTGTTTCTGTAACAAAGCAAATTTCTAGAGGAGGTAATCAGTGTCAAGAGACAGTAACAGAGTTGCCATAACCTGAGGCAAGATGTACAGAACATATTTTATGTTCCTTATAACAAACTGAAAAATAGGATGAAGCTCAAACAAACTAAATTAAAACCTCTTAATTTCAAAACACTGTCATTAAACTAAAACAAAAAATCTCTGTCCCCCATCAACATGACTTCCAATTAACAGACTACTAAAATCCAGTACAGGAGAAAAAAAAGTTTGAGGAAAACATATTTATTCATTAAGAAGTCAAGAAGTTTTAACCATTTACAGACAAGAAGCCATAGAAATGAACATACCTCCAGAGGATAATGTTTCTTGTAATGGTGAGATTTCCTGTTTCTAAGGGTACAATCACTAGAAGTGCGTTCTACATTGCGACGTAAAGAATATCCAGTTTCAGGCCCTTCCTCGCTGGAAACTTCATCTGATAAATTTGTCACAATCCTGTGAGTATCCTAGTGCAAGAAACACAGTACTAGTAAGACTTACAGTCTATAGACTAAGCCTTATTCTCTCAGTTTTCATTTCCCAGATTTTAAACTAAAGTTAAAGTAGCCCTTACAGTAACAGAAAGAAAAAAGGGCAGCAAAAAGATCAACTGTGAAAAGCTTTTTTGTATATTCTCATTTGTTATGAGATCACCAGAAAGGACCTTGTAAAGTTTCCTTAGGAGTCTTCCTGTCATCAATGAAACACAAAAAGGACAAAAATAGCAAAGCTGCTCTCTGTGAATACAACAAATCCTTCCTCCCCTTGCAACATCATTCTCTCTTCCATGACAAACTCTATTTTCTGAGATGCTTCAAGGGCAGGACATTTCCCCTTTTTGACAGCTGAGTTGGAGACAAAAATAGGGACAGGCAGAACAGTCTGGGATGTCTTGTCTACTGTGTTTTGCACTGACACTGAAATGTTTTGATTTTCTTCAGAGGAAGAGATGAGAGGAGAGAAGAAAGGACCCTATTCTAGTCTCTGCCAATTTCTCTTTAATGCGGGTCTTCTCACAAAGCAAGTTCAACATAGACAACACCTCATCCATTCTATCAAAGAAATTTAAAACTGTTTAAAAATCCTTTTTCTCAAAAGTCCTTGATTTAATGAATTTCATGAAGAATGTAAAATGCTTGGAACTGATAAGACAACTGAACCTTGCTATCACTGCTGAGAAAGCACCTCCTGCAGACGAACAAAGTGAAGTTTTCACTCTGAGATGAACCTTTATCACTTTCATTCTGACTGCATCATCATTTGATAAATTAATAATCTTCCTTCGAAAGCAACAAGCACACTTACTTTGTGATGACTGTGATTGCTGAAGACCTCTCTTGCTGTCGAAGTGCCCCACCCTGTCTCTTCTGGCCTGATCACTTCACAGCGACGCTCGTGGGCCTGCACACATTCTTCACTGCCTTTACCTGTCTTTTTCCCATCAAGGGAAACGTAGCCATTGTCAGTCTCCGTGGATTTATCTATTGAGTTTTTTGCTTTCTTAGACCTATATTTAAAACAAATACATGTATTAAATTAATTATTCTCTCAATTATTTCCCAGTCTAAGTCCTGCTTATTCCTCTCAGATCCTGTTTTAGTTCTACTACTAAGATGACCACAAATGAACAACATTAACATTTGATGTGGTATTTGTAACTATTTAATCTTCTAAATAATACTCATTATTTTGTAACAATTTTAGGAAAGTATAAATTCTCAGTGTGTGAATGAAATGTGCACCATTATCTACTGAAAGGAGAGAAAAGGAAATATATTTTTTAAAACTAAAATTTTCACAGCAACTTTGGCAATAGAAGAACCACAAGCCTCAAATGTAAACGAGAAACTCCTCTATTCCATCTTAACGAGAAAAGAGGTATGATAGAAGTTGCTTTAAGAATTATTAATTCAAAGCAAGCATGCGATTTCCTGAAGCTGCAAACATGCTTTTTATTACTCTCTACACAGATATTTATTGTTGTTTTAAATACACTTTGCTTATTGACAACTCTGCTAAACAGAAGGGGATTTACCCTTTTCTGTATTATCCCGTAACACCTCAGTAACATTTTTAAATATATCTTATAAACACAATAATTAAACCTTTTTTCAAAGCATAAAATCTTAAGACCACTTATAATGGTGAACAGTCTTCCATAACATCCTCTAGAACAAAGGCCCTTTACTAGTCAATAGATGTAGCAGCAAGACTAATGTAAGAAAAAGGCTTTCTCAAAGCAAATATTTGGATGATTACACTTCCAAACTAGAAAGTGCAGTGGATGAAGGAATGAAAAGGAATAACAGCTTGCTACCTTACTGACAGAGACTACTTTTAGTCTTCGATTAAGCTTCTGTATTCTCAAAGTAAATTAGATTTTGCTTGTTAGATTCTCAGAATGTTTGGTGGGGAAGCAGGGGGGAGAGAGCAAGAGGAGAGTTATAAATAAAGCTTCCAGAATTTTTTATTTTTATTACAAGCAGAACGCTGGGCATAGATCACAGAAGTACCAAGAATTTGTCCAGTTGATCTTGTGCTCCTATGAGGGAATATGTATTGCCTTTCTCTTTAAGAAGTCAGGCATTCTGTGAAGGCTTGGATTACACAGCAGAAGATTAAATTCCTCTTTAGTATGTACATCAAACAAATTGGGAGAATTTGGATAGTCGCCTCACATTCCTTCCAAGATAAGGTATCTCACACATAAAGGGGAATCCTGAACACAAAAATTCATTAGGAAGAGCTGGATAAAATGGAAAAGAAACCAAAAAAGACCAATTCTGCTGTTGGAATGCAGACAAAATAATGAAGAGAAGGGACAATGTCACTATCGCGTTTCATCTTCCTTTCCCATCTTTAATCTCATTTCCTCACCCCTGAATAGAAAAAATCTAACATTTATATTTCTTTTAATGCAAAGGAACTGCTGGTCCACTTCTCTTGTATGAAGCTATGGAACTCACCTAGTATTCCCTGACCTACTCCCAAAATTCTTGGCCAACTTAATTTCTAAAAGAATACAAAACCATCAGAAACACTTTCTGCAGCTACTATTTATTTGTCTGGATTAAGTTTTATTATAAGCTTACAAAAGTAAAGAGCCAGCACATGCTTTAGCATGTGTGGTGTGCTGGAGATCAGTCAGTGAGCTTCCTGTTTGCAGACTGCCAATGTGAGAGCTCACATAAGGAGCTTGAATTTTCTAGGTCCATTAAGATAATCTAAAACATTACTGAGGCTTTGGACAAAAAGGTCAAGCTATCACCAGTAAACACATTAGAACTTTATTTCTGTGCCATTCCTTAATGCCACTGTTTAGCCAAGTTAATGAAGATAAGACAACTGAAGATAGGGAAAGCTCCAGTTATTATTGAATGGAAAACTTTGCTTTTCCATGTCTGGAATAAAGCAAGTACTGGCCTTTAAGTGGCAACTCACTGTAAAAGTTTCAATAAGGTCGGTTGTGAGTACTAAGGAAGTAGTACTAATATTAAATTATCTGCAATAAGGAGGAATCCAGAGCAGCAAATTTGTAATTCATTAAATATACTTCCAGCACTATTTAAAAATTCCTTTTTAACAGTGCAAAAGCAAACACAGTTCACATCACATGCACACGTACATGCAGTCAGAGACACTTCCTCCACAACAGGAGTGGATTAACAAGACAACTATTCCAAGTTTGACTTGAGAAGTTTTTATACATTTTATATAAAATTTTAAAGCTACTAGGAAGAAGTAGCCTCAAACAGTTGAATAAGAACAGATAAAAGAAAGAACTTAGACATGTATGGACAGTTTGTTCAGACAGGATTTCACTACTCCAGCAATGTTTAAGTGCTAAAATCACAAGAGGAATACTACCCATCTGATATCGATTAAGGCTCATTCTGAAAAACAGGTAGCTTGCCTGAAGTCTTTATTTGTTTCTAACATAAAAGCCAGTTATCTTTTGTAAGAATCCCTAAGTTTAAGTGTAAGCCTCAAGCCAGAAAAACATACATTTAGGCTTAAAATTAGACTTTTGTGCACTATATTGTGTTAAAAAACAAAAAAAAAATCAAAACTCCCAAACAAACAACAACAACAAAAAAAGTTTTTCCCTAGCAGACAGAAATGTAGTTTCCTAGAATTACAATATATACACATACATCATCGATCAACTTTTACAGTTTTATGCTAGAACTAAAAGTATTTAGAGCAAGACAGACAATGCCATGAATAAATCCAAGGTCTTAAAAGGTTTGAACATGTGCAGCATCTGAGAATGACTTTTAGTCTTATTTATGCATTAGCTAGAGAAAATACTAAAGAAGATTTAAATCAAATTTCTGGAAGACTTTAGATTTACACTGTCAAGTACTCTATTCCAATGTATTACCATTGGGGTTGGTCACAAAAACTCTCCTCGTTGTTCCCACTGTGAAACTTTTAGAGAAGTTAAAAGATTTCCACTGGAGTAAGGACACAGAGCAAAGTCCCAAATCAGTACTACATTCTGAATAAATCACCTGTTTGGATATTACCTTCTTTTCCAGTGAAACTAATCAGTATTTTCTAAACTGCCACTGTGCTAGATTAAAGTACAGAATTATATTTTATCAGAAAGACTGAGTTCTGCCATTCAAAAGGATATTTATATAATACACAGTTCCAGATTAGCAATGACCTGAGTGTAGGCAAATGGTCTAAGTACACAGGGTCCTGCCCTAAACCAGAGAACATAATTTCTGAGGTTAATTTTGAAATCATGTATTTATAACCTAGATTTCAAACTTCAGAAAATGTATGTCAAAGCTTAATATATGTGAAAAACTGCTGTAAATAAACACTAATGAGACAGTCTAATGTGCTTATCTAAAGAGTTCCCAAATATGTCTTAGGAAACAGGACAGACGTCACTGTGAAGCTTGCTTGCACTGAGGTTTCCTAAGATCTTCTTTAAGCAACATTACCAAGTGGTCAATGTACTCCATACTGTGCTCTTGCTTCCTCACTCCCAGCCCCACTCTGCCATCCCACACTGCTGACAAAGCTGTTTGCATTACCATGAAAAAAATTACATGAAGAAACTGAACTGCGTGCTTGAAAAAGAGGTTATTTTTTAAACTGGACAAGTTCCTCATATGGTTTGTATGGCTCCAGACATACAAACAACTGTGCCTCTGCAACTGAAGAGGTGACAAAGGACTAAGGGCTATTTACAGCATTCTCAGTCTCACTCTGTGCTCTTTTATCCTTTGAAGATACTGTATATGCTAAGTAGTAATCATGGAGGCTTAACATCTATATATATATACACACTACCTCTCATTAAATGGTTTAAACAAGTCTTTAGAGTAAGTTCCACACAGCCCTTCTCAACTGAAAACAGTCTGAGCCCAATAGGAGGAAAGGTAAGGAAAAAATGAATCTTCCAACACTTCTCTTCTTATTGAAGATCAGTATCTTCAATGAATGGAAAACATTTAAAAATTTACAAGACTACAATCGAAAGTGCAACAAAGTAATACATTCAGACCCGAAGAACAGCCATGGTGCCTATTACTGTGACCTACAGTTTATCAAAGCTAGATTAATCTACGCAGGAAAAAGTCAAGTGAACTCTCCTCTTGCAATATTTCAAAACATTGTTAAAACTTCTTCAAGGTTTCAAGTAGATATTCCCAGAATATCTTATATATAACTTATATAACTTATGTAACATAAGTTTTCCCAGTGGTTAAGAGCACATATCACAGTATGACAGACATGTTAGTGTTGCCATATTTAAGATGCAGCATGCACAACAAAACATCAATGTAACAACTTGCAGTATCCCTTTTCTCAATTTCACACTATTTTATGAGCATATTTTCACTTGTTAATACATGCTGATACATAGCACTCAAAATACTGCATGTATAGCATATCTTGAACACATACTGCTATAGAATGTTTTGGTTTTTTTAAAAAACTTTTTAATTGCCCAGAGCACTACATCAGCAGATTGATCCTTTCCAAGACAGCTCTGGAATCCAACAGGTTTAGGTGTTTCTTCTAATCATAACAAAACATATCTTCTATGTTTATTTATAAACTAAACACTGTGCCTATTTTAATCCTTTCTGAAGGCTTTTCCTTCAGAAAAAGTGTGTGATTTGATGACAGTGACAGAGGTCAATAAGCATTCTTTCCGAGTAATAAGCAGTTAATGTAATAAAGTAAAACTGAAGAGTTGAACTGAGAAACTGAGCTGGTTTGTTCCTGATAGTCCACACAGAGTACTCCTAATTAACTAAAAGTTAATTCTCTACCTCACTCTCGTGAGATCCCACTTGGAGTACTGTGTTAAGCTCTGGGGCCCTCAACATGAGAAGGATATCAACCTGTTGGAGCAAGTCCAGAGGAGAGACAAGAAGATGATCAGAGGACTGGAGCACCTGTCCTATGAAGACAGGCTAGGAGAGTTGGGTTTTTCTAGCCCAGAGAACAGAAGGTTCTGGGGAGATCTTACAGCACCTTCCAGTCCTAAAGGGGGCTACAAGAGAGTTGGAGAGGGACTTTTTAAAAGGGCATGTAGAGACAGGACAAGGGGTAATGGCTTCAAACTGAAAGAGGGCAGGTTTAGATATAAGGAAAAAATTATTTACTGTGGGGGTGCTGAGGCACTGGAACAGGTTGCCCAGCAAAGCTGTGGATGCCCCATCCCTGGAAGTGTGCAAGGCCAGGATGAATGGGGCTTTGAGCAACTTGGTCCAGTGGAAGGTGTCCCTGACCATGGCAGGGGGGATAGAACCCGATGATCTTTAAGGTTCCTTCCAACACAAATTATTCTATGACAATTCCATATTTTTTCAAAATTATTGCATCAGCATTTGCAAAAGTCAAAAAACAATAATTAGTACATTTTCAAATACTGAGATGAGTTTGCTATTAAGAACAAAAAACTAGATCAACAGAAGTTTAATCATTACATCAGTGTTTACTTATTTAGAAAAGGGATAGTGCATCTCTAACACATACGTAGCCTTAAATAAATACAAACCCTGATAAAAAGAAAGCAGCATGCCAGATATCTCTGAAGACAGCGCCAATACTGCAAGAGGTGCTTGTACCGTAGCTCTGCACTGTTCCCTCCTGTGTGTTATCTGTGGTACTAGAGCCATCTCCTTCCCTATGTACTTCCAAATGTGCTGCTTTCCTTAATTTCCTTCATCAAAAGAGATTAAAATTGGAAGGTAGCTTTGTAAGTGCAATTTGCTAGTTCTGTAATGTGTTCAGCAGTTCAAGCATGCAAAAACAAGCAAGATTTCAAAAGTATTTTGCTAAAGTTTTATCATATAAATTTTATAAATTCCATTTAATAAAACTAAGCATTGCACATTACCATAACACTTAAACACAAAATAAATTTCACTTCATCAGAGGCTCAGACTACAAAATTCACTACTGCAGGGTTTCCCATTTTAATGGGACAACTCACAGTGGCAAACCACAGTCAGTGAAGTGCTTGGAAGAAAGGTTCTACACTTCAGAGAGCATCTCCTTTAATGTATGCTTCCCACAGATCACTGGACAGTATTGCATACTTATAAAACTAAACTTGCAGTAATATAAACATTGTCATTCTACCACTATTCAGATAAAAACTGTTTTGAGGCAAAAATTAAGATTCAATGCATTAAAATTCAAATAAAATTATGCATAAATTAGCCAATGCATAAAAGTTAAAGAGCACAGTTAAGCACCCATTTTAAACTTTCAAATAAAAACAGAGCACTAATTTCTCATCTCTTGCAAAGCAGAGACTGTAAGCCTCTACATTTTTTTCATGCATGTTCTTTACAGTAGTTTAACAATCCTAAATGATAAAGTACTTTAACACAGACTATACCTTCTTCTTTTACCCCCTGTGCTAGGAGGTGGCTTAGGAGTTCGTGTTGAAACAATCTGACAGTGCACAGTCCCAAGTAGCAACATTAGCCATATCGGCCCAATGACTTCAGTCAGAGGTATATTATGTGGGCTTTGGGCTGTATAGAATAGCACTACAGCAGCAACTGGAAAAGAAGGGAAATGAAGTTGAGTTCAATATTTGAAATGTCTGAAATGGCCAACTCGTTATATGGCTTTTGTTAAAACCAAAACCAGTCAGTTAGCCCTTTACCTGCATTTAAATCACCTCATGTAATTCTGAGGGAGAGAAATCCTAATTGCTAAAAACCAGCAGCAATAAAGGTTTAAACAGTTGCCTACTGTCTTAATACCTATGTTTAATTTCACACTATATTATAGGTATTGCTCAAAAAAAAGGTGGCAGAATGAAGGTGGGGAAAAGCATTTGGAAAGCTATATTTGTCATGAAACAACTTTAAATTACGGTGAAACATTTGCAGGAGAAAAAACCAAAAAGCAGCTTAAACAAATGGAATTCTAGATCACCTATAATGACACAGCACAATCCAACAAGTTAAGTGAGACTTGAGACTAGAAACTCTGTACAGTAGACTGTATTTTAAACTCCATATTCCAGTCAAGGGACAAAACTGCCCATCTGGATAGACAGCCACTTGTAAGAGCAACCAAGTATATATTTCACATATACTTGTGTGTATATTTTTTAGCAGTGAGGAAAGATCAAAAGACAAAGCATGTAAACTAGGGGGTAGTTCAGCTGAAGTGACCAGGACTCTAACTAGCACTTGTGGTTGGAAAAGGAGGAGCTTCCAATTCCATCACTAACTAATAATTTTGTAACCCTATAACCACTTTCCACATACAGCCAACACCCATACAGCTATTCTTTCTCCTGTACCCAGAGCCTGACCACTCAGAAACATTTTTACAGGCCCCAGGTCAACCCGAACACATTCACCAGGCATGGGGCAGGCAGGAGACACAACCCCTCTCTTTTTCTGCTTATGCTATGTCCTTGCCCCTCTGTCTCTCTGGCTTGGAGTGCTGTGTCTACAAAATCAGCTGAGAGAAGCTATCAAAAAAAACCAAAACAATCCAAAACAAAAAACCACAGAAACTCCAAGACACAATTCAGAAACAGAACTGGGAAATAATTATATGTTCCTACTGTCTGCACAGACCATGAGAACTTGGTTTTGTTCTTGTACTACTAAGAAGTGAAAGTCCCATAACTTAGACCTACTCCTAGCACAAGAAATACATGGTATAAGTTAAACAGTTTTCACCAATTCTCTACTGAAATTAATTGAAAAAAATGCAGCCACATGCAAAAGCTATGTGCCACATTCAAACATCTAAAATAAATCACATGAAGCCACACCTAACAGCAGATACCTGGATGTGATGTTCTCCACTAAAAAGAGATTCAATGTGTTTTTCATTAACTAATCTTTCACAATGTAACCAGTATTAAAAACATAATAAACATATGAAACAACTGAATCATTTTTGATTGTGGAAAAACTATTTCTAATTTCTCCTCAGTCTTTTTCCTAAATTAAAGCACAATAGTCTTGCAGGGAACACACAGGGTATCTTTTATTATTACGTGTGCAATAAGTTTTTGCTGCATGAGGTTTCTCAGAAAGACAGTATGCATCTATGAGAAATCCAATTTACTAAAAAATAATAAAAAAAGGTACAGATAGCAAAAGGTACAGATAATGTTATCTCTTTCTAAATGAGCTTATCTAGGTTCTCATACATATATTAGCTTCATGAGGTAAAAGAGTAAAGAAGTAGCCAATTTTGACTCCTACCATAAAATTAGGATAAACATATTCTTCTGAGAACACAGAGCTCCACAGATCCATGTGAAATGATTTGCAGGAGTAGGTCTACACAAAATAATTTCAAACTTCACTAGTGCTGCTTAATAGACATTTAGCAAAGCAGAGCTGTCTAGAAGAAATCATGTTCCAGAAGACAGGAATCTGCAGACTGGGGACTCCCACCACAATGTTTCACACAGATTTAGGAAAATGTTACCAATCTCCTGATCTTTTCAGTAGGAGGGGAGGGAAATCCAAGAATTTCTTTGTACACAGTGTGTCAATATGCTCTCCTTTGGGTTATCCAAGAATTGGTCCTACCAACAGGTAGGTAGGAGTGGTCAGAACAGGATTTCTCACAGCCCTTTTAATTATTTCTTTACATATTTATAGTATTTGGGCTTCCACTTTCCTAAAACACAGTGGTTTATTTTGTGAAACAGACACAAATGAAATTATATCACACTGAGCAAAAAGATGTCTCAAAGAAAGCAATCATACATTTCAAAGACCAACAAGCATTTATTTTTAGAGCATTTAAGGCTTTGAAATACTTGTAATAGCAAATTTAAAAAGGCATACATGCTTATGTATCTCACCACCACAATAAACAACCATTACATCACTATTAAAGTTTCTTGCTTCATACTTAAGAAATACATGATAGAGATATACTTTGTACTTTCACTCTTGTTTTTCCCATTAGAATATAGAAACATTTTTAAAGTAAAAATGAGGTACTATTATATATTAGATAGATAAGGAGTCACAAGAAAAAGGTTTTTCTACCTTAAGTCACTGGCCTGTTCTGTGACCTTGAACAAAAAACATTTGTCTGTAGTTCTCTTATCACACATTGTGCTAATCACTTTACACTAAAGGAAACCAATGCAAATAAACCTGGAGTTTAAATGCTTAGCCAAGGAAAAAGTTTTTTCTACAGACTTACATAAATGCTAGCAAGTATCCTCTTAAATCTAATCAATTTTAAAGCAGTAATGCAGTTCATAAATCTATAGAAAACACTTCATAATTAAAGAAAATAATTTAACTAAACATATATAAACAAAATAAAATCAGACCATTTTACAACAATGTCAGTGAGAATCTGTCATGATGACAGAAAGTCCAAGCTACAATACAAAATCCAGATTCAGGGTAGAGTTATGGCTACTGGAATTCAAAATTTCTTTTCTTACGTTTCTATCATAGATTCTTGACATTTTGGTGCTGTCTTACCAATCTTCTAAAAATTAGTAACTGAGCACAGTGCTTGGGGGGGTGGGATGGAGTGTGTTTTAAATAGTTTCCAATAAGTAAATCTGTCAATTTAATTTCATTTCCATGTTCTTTTAATTTATTTCAAAAACTTTCAAAAACTATCAAAAACTCTGCAGCTAATTCAGCACAGTTTGGATATCAAGTATTTAAAATAGTTTATAGAGTGATATGGAATACTATTAATCATTTTCTGATATTTGTTAATTCACAACCTCAGAAATATCAGAAATATTTCATCATGTTATAGGCTATATGGGTTAGGGAACTGATGCATTCCAACCATAACTTAGTAAATCACAGATCTCAAGAAATCTGAGGGGGGAAAGCATTAATTATAAGATAGCTCTGTAATTAATGTCCTAAAAACTTGCTTGCACTCAGAATCTGCATTGTCTTAACAATTTGGCTACTTTTAGAGTCTTATCAAAGCTCCATGAATTAAGTGTGGGTATATTTTTTAAAATAAATTTCCCAATAGGAACATAAAAAATTACTGTTTCTCAGAATAAGACACCTATGAATATAGTAACTAACTACAATTTCTGTCTTTTACTATCTATATTACTATAAATGAGATAAAAATTATTAACACTATGAGATCTCTTACTGTAGTATAGACAAATGCTAATGTATGTTACAATACTTCTTAGGAACCTATCTCAGAAATGGGGATAAGAAGGACTTTTGATAAGAGGCCACATGAACATTTGCCAGTATTGCAGCTCTTGAGGCACTGGCACTATGAAAAATAATTTTATAGCTGCTAACATCACCACATGAGGTACTGTCATTTTTTTTAAAGTCCCTATCTTTTTTAATTAAAATTTCCAAATGATATAGTGATTCACAACTGAAAGGACAGATGGCAAAATTAAAAACGTAATATTGTATCTTAATTGATTTCAGTGGAAAATCTATTAGTCATTTAGCTTCTCAGGGTACTTAAATTGCTCCCAACTTTCATTAACCTTCTGTTCCATTTCTGTTGTACATACTTCTGAAACACTTATTCTCCACCCTTTTAGATACTGACTCACTTCATTACATTTCCCCCTTTCTAGTTTTCTTCTTATATATTACATATATTTAAGAGAATCACAAAGTCAGATTGCTAGAACTCAATACTGAACATCTGAAAAGGTGTGAACTCCATTCTGTTTGTTAACAGTTTCCCAATAGCACCTCTATAATCTAGGAAACATAAAATTAAGATGCATAGTCTCCCCATTGCAGTAGAAAAAACAGCAGAAGCACAGAGGACAGTAAGTCCCTCATTTGTCAGGTCACTGCCTCTCATGTAACAAAACAACACGTGGAAGGACAACTAGAAACTGGTCCATCAGATCATCCTACGAGGTTGCACAAGCTGCACACACCTTGGCAGGCTTGGCCTTGCTTGTTTCTTGATCAGAGCTCTCGATCTGCACAAGAACCAGACACACCAAAAACCGTCGGCAAGATACACTCCCTAAGCTAAAGGTTTCTTCAATATTGCTCAGTCCTGAACTAAATTAGATAGGCCTGAAAACCTAAATTATATACAGAGGTAACAAACTAATGTGTGCTAAATGCTGAAGACAGTCTGTGAGGAGATCCTTAAATTTTTCATTTTGTCCATTTGTTCATTTTCATTATATATGTAAAAGAAATGTTAATGAAGAGACAGAAAGTATTGGAATGAACCTTAACAGCATAACGTGAACCAAGTAGCATACTGCAGCTTCCATACGGTTAAAATAAGGCATTCAGTTGAAGCTGATGCTGTAATCCAACTCTACCTTGGAGAAGGTAAAGAACAAGCAGCCAGAAAAAAATGACCCGTGATGTCACTTGTAGCCACCACCTGTAGAAGAACGGAAAGAAAACAACCCTCACGATTCCTTTGCGGGTCAAAGATGTCCAAGGACTTTCAGGTTTTGCTTTAGCAAAAGCAGATCCTTAAACAAAAAAAAAAAAGAAATTCAGATTTATTTCATTCTTACAGCTAATAAAAAACCTCTAGTTGTACAAAAACTCTACTCTAGCAGAGTAGTTAAGATAGTTAGTTAAAGGAGCAATTATTAAATACAATTATTTGAATAAATCTCATACTTCCACCATTTCACTATCTTGTCCATCCAAAATGGGCATAAATTGTTGGTGCTCTCTTGGCTGCCACTATCAGGAATTTCTACAAATACCTGTATTTTGGAATGTTTGAATAACAAAGCATTGGCATTTCTTACTATGTCAAAATTATTTTTAAATAAATTACTAAAAATTGCTGTTTCATAGAGGTATCAGAAACTTGACATTAAACAATAAGAAGTCGTATGAAAACTACATGCCTATGCACGCACAGCAGAGCCCTTTCCAACACAGCAAAGGGATCGAAAATATCAACATCTGTAAATTGCTACAGCCATGTCATTTGGGAAAATGGAATAAAGTTGAAGCATTGAAATGGATCTGTCCAACTGAGGACTAGCCTCAGGAGCAGGGAAGCCCCCCAAAGAATATTTTTGTCTCTCCTTCCACACCATTTTTCATCTCTCTCATTCAAATGTCCTTTCTCTCCATTTCTTTTTCTTCCTGCAAATTCCCAGCTAGAAAAGTGTGTAACATTTACTTAATGGGGATGTGACTTAAATTATGCCAAGTTATTGATTGGAAATGGCAACTACTGCATGCCTCTATGCCATCCCCACCTCATTTACCAGCAGAACTGGTATTAGTGAGTTCCGTGCTGCCACAGGTAAAACACTGCCAGCACTGAAATTGCTTTAATGCCAACTTAGACATCCATGCAGAGCAGTCATTTAAATGCTATTCACGTACATCACCATACTGAAGTGGTCTACCCCTGTTTCTTAGTTTCTTTAAAGTTCAAATGTTATTTGATTTTGTTTCCTTCTCTCACATTCTCATTTTTAAAAGGTTATATTGTAATATTGCACACCCACAGATGTTAAAAGAGATAATGGCAGGAGGGGGAGCCCAAATAATACCCTTTTGGGGTTTTTCTGGACCCATCATTGGAACCATCAGCTCATCTCAGGCCCATATCCCCACACCCAGATTAGGACAGAGGTAAAAAAGCAGGTGGGAATCCAAACCATGGAATGAACACCATGACCAGGCCCCTCCCAGAGCTGTCCCAGAAGAGCCATCGACCCCACTGTCCAAGTGTGAAACACTCACAATGAGTCTCTGGGAATAGCTCTCCAAGTCACCTTTCAGAGGAGGAGATGCTGTCTGGGCAGGTGGGACTCACTAAGGGATGCAGGGGAAAAGCAGCTCAGATGGCACAGACTTACTATAGGACAGTCAAGGGAAGAAAAATCGTATATTATCTAACCTTCTATTGCTGTTTTGCTATTTAAAACAGGCAAGAAACAGCCATGGCCTTTACAATTTTTATTCTGCAGAAACTTCAACATAACCTTTCCTCTAGATGTCAGAAGATTTCGAAGAAGTTTGAGTGCATGGCAACAGGAGATTTCTGAACTAAAAACTTTAAAATGTTTATCCATGATAAGGCACAAGTTTTGGTTTTTTTCAAAATCTAACTCTATACAGCAAAGTTTAGATCAAATTCTTAAGCCTTCAGTTTAATCTAGACTTCATAACTCACCATTTCCTATCCACCCACTTCAGAGAAGGGTTATATAGGGTTGCTGTGTTTGGATTGCTTGGGGTTATTTTTAACTTACTAATATAATACACTCTTGTTATAAGACACAGGATGGCTGTTATTTTTATACAGAGAAATTCAGCTTTTTCTAGCTCAGACCTACCTCTTACAAGATCAACATCTATGAGGTCTGGTTTCACATGCCCTGTTTTCTTTGGTTTGTTTCTCAAACCCTGTAAAAGACGAATACTATCAAAACACATTCATGCAGATTACACACATTAAAAAAGACAAAAATATTTATGTGGTCAGTAATTGTATTTAACCTACACTGCTACTGAAAATTCAGACAAATATGTCAACTTCATAGATTTAAAGTACTATAAATTAAACATTCCAAGGAACAATGCACAATAGATGCCTTTTACACACTTTACAATCTAAACAAAACCCAACCAATTACTGACCCATGAGGCAATTTTTCAAACACAGCTACGCACTGAGAACTCATCTCCCATAGCTTGGCATTATGCAGACAAAGTATGCACACACTTGCAAGAATTAGTAATACATGTCTATTAGGTTTTCAGAACTTTTGCAACAAATTACATTCCTGAATCTCTTTTCTCCTTAGATGTCTAACTAAACTTCACAAAATGTTTACATTGCAACTCCTTAATTCCAAACCTAGACAGCAAATCACGTTGCAATGCAGGAGCCACTAATAAGCAAGCTCTCAGAAATCCAAATTCTAGACAAATATTGAATTTTTTCTTCATAGTGAATATAAATTAGCCAATTAAAAGGAGGGGGAAAAAATCCCACATGATAGGAAAGCAGCAGGAAGAAAAGCAAGCTTATTTTGTCTTTTAGAAACAGCATCTTCCATCACTGAAGAGCCAAACTCTCTTGCAAAGCTTTCAAGTTTGCTTTTAATGCTAAAATGTGATGCTGTACTCTCAAGTCTCAGAGACAGTTGTGAGTCTATTCTGCTCCTTCTAGATTAGATTCTTGGTCACATTAGCCAATAAGGAAACCACAGAGTACAATTCATGCAGAGTAAAATAAAATATTTCAAAAAATATTTAGGATACAAATGGAAATGTTGTGAAAGTCATTTAACTGTTTTCATTCAAAAAGCAGTTACATTCCCTGGCAAACCGTACATTTCTACCATTGCCCTATTTCATCCACATGTAAAAACACTTATTACTTAAATGTAAACATTAAATACAGATGAAAGCATAAAAATGAAATTATTATCAATGAGAGACAGATCAGTGAAATCTGGTAATGTTAATCTTTATACAAACAATATCAAGCAAAATGTTCAACTGAGTGCAGCTCAAAGTATTTCTCACATCAAAATTCAACTGGATTTATTTTCATGCTGAAATAAAGATAAAATAAAAAAATCAAATTGTTTACAATGAGCTAGATATGTAGTCATTACCTGATGTGTCTATTAGAAAAATGGGAGTTTGCTTGAAACAAAACAAAATTAATACATAGAACTGAAACATGGGTCGGACAAAATGCACTCTGAGAATGACCAATACAGGAAACCAGTTGTACTGTAGACTTAGGCATTGCAAAGACCTTAGTATGCAAAATTTTTACAGAACAGCAGTCCAAAACTGCAGCAACTTTATGCAGAATGAGAAAAGAAGCCCATAATTAGAATTGGAAATTATAATCTAGAATCAGCTACAGATTCTCGTGAAATTTTGCATAAGTGAGCCACTCCGTCTCATAAAAAGATCTGAAGCCTAAAAAGAAAATGCTGAATGATATAATAATTTTCAAATGTATTAGTGCTTACGGGCCACAAGATCTTTCTTGGAAGTCTAAATAAAGATGTGCCTCTTAGAAGAAATAATCCCCTGGAAAAATACACATAATCCTTGGAAAAATGTACCACTGTGAATAAAGTACGTTTTCATTTTAAAGAAAGAATTCTGAAAAAAATAAGTCAAGTGTATAACTCGATGCAACTTTCATGGGAAAAGAAATGGTGACTCATTCCTTAAAAATTCCATTAGTCAAACTGCAAATGTTTTCAGTGTCCACAGACTACACTGAGTTCATTCTTGTACTTTTTGCCACATACAGTGAAAGAATTCCATTTGTGCAGATGCAATTTCTCCACTCTCTTAATGTATCACAAATATCTGTAATACATATATGGAAAACAGCAGTGTTTCAAACTAAGATTACTTTAAAAAAATATTCATAGTGTTTCATAATGCTCAGACCCATCCGTTTGGTTCATATAATTTCTATTCAGCACCAAACACATTTCAGCTAAGTAATAGGAAAAAAAAAGTTTAAATAAAAATACTTAAAAGTAGGTGCTATTATTGTAAAAGTCCTTTTACACAAATTTTAAAATTAGTCTTAATAGATTCTATTATAGTTCTAACTAAATTATCAGTTTATAGTAAGAGAAACAGATTTTTCTACTAAAAATAAGAAGTTTTCAGATTTTTAGTAAAGTTAGTTTATAAATTATTATATGATTATATAATATACACATATATTAGATATATTCATAAATATCAAAGCACTCTAGGAGCTTTGAGATTAAAGCACTAATGTGCAATACCTAAACTTGGTCATATGCTTCACTGTTATCTGTATTGCATGAAACTCAGTCAACACAAACTGTACAGACATCATCAGTAGTTTGTTAGTTATTGTACTCCTGAGCCAAATGAGATGCATATAGATTAAGCACAGGGCACTATTTGCAGTAATTATTTGAATAATGTGCTATTACACAGCAGTTACAAGAACTCCTGTCATAGCTGTAACTGGCTTTCATGGCCATGGGAAGGACCCTTCAGGCACCCTCAGGCTCAGCCACGGGGCTGAAATACCATTGGGTCTGACTTAATGTGTGTATTTCTGTGCAGAAACCAGGGAACTCTGTAGCTCAGGTCAGTAACAGTTTCCACAGAAGGCAATCAAGTCCCCCTGCATGTTTTATTTAGCTGTTTAAGGACTGGGGCAGGAAGAACCCACCACCAAGGAAACTGAAGCAATGCACATTTTACTGATGTTAAGTATTAGCAACATGTTGAAATTTGTGCAGCAGTATCATACTTCTTGCATGCAGTGTTTGAGGAAAAAAAGGTTAATTGCGAGAAAACATTAACTGAATTAACACCATGGAGTATGACATAATATACAAACCATAGAACTATCTTATATAGGATCAATTTTCTCCAAAGCAATTTAGCAATGTGGCAGACACTGATGGCACTGTTAGTTAAACCAAAATGCACAGAACACTGTTAACTTGCTTGTTTAGAGAAACAAAGCCTGAGGTACTTACCAATCTAATAAACTGTACAAAACAATGACAGCATCATAAAGGAGGAAAAGTAAACTGCAGGTATAAGGTAACTAACTGAAAGCAAAGAGAGCTCAGATAACTGACATTAGAATTCATCACAAAGAAAAGTGAAAAGACAGAGGTAATAAAACAACTAAGCTCTGGCTTAAGATGAAAAGAAAAAAATGTACTGAGATACAAAAATGTGTATCATGCTAAATGTTGCAGAGTTATTAATTATGTAAAATAAATAGAGCATAGTATACTGGTTACATTTGGTTACACTCCAGAAGTCTAGTTTTACTTTACCACTATTAAATACCACTACATACAATGTAAATTACATGAGTGCACACAACCACCAAAAGAAATAAATGCTGAAATGCTGTATTATTACCTTTATTTCTCTTTGCTCTACTGACTTTTCCCATATTTGTTGATCATATGCTCCAATCTAAAAAGAATACAGAAAAAAATACCAACATTAGGATTTAAAAGACATTGATCAAACAAAATCAATCAACCTTCAATGACAGAAGCATGAAGCCAGCAGGTTATTTACTTGGGGAGGCTTGTTTACAAAGGAATCTTTATCTTCTCTGCTCCATCTTGGCTGGACAGGATCTACCTAATCCGTACAAGAGTTGTGATACAGGGCAGAGGTGAGCCAGACAGCCCCAGCCTCATCCCAGGCATTGTCAGACGACTGGGAAGACCACGCTCTCTCCCACTTCAGGTCAGGATTCCAGTCTCTGTACTGACAGAGAGCAGAACTATGGCAGCAACACTGACATGGTCCTTCAGTTAACTTCAGAGAAATACCACGCATATGTAGCTGAACCCATACCTTCAATTAATTTATTCTTTTTTTAAACCATCTCCCTCTCTAATTCCCATTTCGTTCCACCCACTTTTACAGCTACACGGTCTTTAGTGTTATCTCTTCAGAGCACACAGCAACAAGATATATGGTCAAGCTGGTAATCAACTAGATTATAGGCCAGGGGAAACTCAAAGAATATCAGGAAACTGCCCTTTTCCCGCCAAAGCGCTGATGAAAACATTCCTAGTAGACCTGTTCCCAAATTTGTTCACTCTCATTTAGCTGCTAGTCTATTTATTCATGACACTCTTCCAAATAACTTAGTTTTATTAAACCTGAGCAAGTTTTTGGTTAAAAAATTAAAATAGGTTAAAAAATTGAAATAGATTAAAAAATTGAAATGAAAAGGAAGAGTTTTCTCCCAGGCTCTAACCTTACCTCAGCATTGTAGAAAACTGTATTTGTGAGAGTAGAACCACAGACTGTTGAGCTTTAAACCCAGTCAGCAACTAGGCACCACACAGCAGCTCACACATAGCCCCAGAGCAGCTACTGTGAAGAAAATTAACTGTATCCCAGCCAAAACCAGCACATTGGTCCTGCAAGCACTTATTAAAATCCTAGCACTAAGACCAGTTTCGAAGGGTTCTGTCATTTTAAATAACCATCAATACAGGTAGTTATAGTTAATTTAGGAAATTACTATGCACTTATTTATCCAACATAGAGAGCCACTCTATGACTGTCAGATATTTTGAAAAAGGGTAACCTTAAATTTCAGGAAATTCCCATGTAAGATAGTGACAAGAACAACTCAATATATGAGACAATATATCCAAGTTTTGTAAGAAGTTATCAAAGATCATCAGTACTTTGAACTCTGCACAAATAGAATTTCTAGGTAATGATTCAGTAATGATGGTAATTTGAAAGCCTTGCCATCCCAGCAGTTCTACCTAGACACATAGATCACGTGCACACGTGTGCACACACTGCTGGCATCGGGGGTTTGGACTCAGATGACAAACTTTGAGCAGTTAAGTGCAGGATCACTTTTAGGTCATGAGGGAGAGACAGATGTGGTTCCTGAGATCCTTTACTAACATGCAGAGCTGATACAAGTAGCTCAGTCAGACACCTGATAGAGGCAAGAGGAACAGCTTCCATCATTTGAGCAAATCTGCTTCAATTCAGTCTTACTGCAAGGGTATGACTCCTCCTTCCAGTTCACAACTGCAACAGACACAAAAGACCCGAGCACAAATGCACACACCTTGTACCAGAAAACATTATTCTGATTTCTCTTTTATTATTTCAGCCTTCATAAAAGAAACAAAAAAAAGTAATTCTTGGTTAAAAGGATCTTTTAATCAAGGACCCAACATAAATGCAAAAACATACCCAGGGAAGCCAATAGGCAAACACATCCATAAACAAAGAAATCTAAAGGTATCTTTTGTACTTCTAAACCTCACCAATCATGAAAAAATACCAATAATAATAAAATAATAATAATAATACCAATAATAATAAAAAAATTTCTAATTTAGAGCAGTAAAGTCCAAAGCACATCTAAAATTCGAAGTGAGAACAGTAAACTGAATTACTGAATTGTCCTTTCTCAAATTTAATTAATATTTCCCACTCACAAAAGCTAAACAATTTCTATAGTTTGCTACTTTATAACTTTGGAGAAAAAAATCTACTGGCTTTTTGGTAATAATAAATACTTGACACCTCTCATTTGGAAAAAAAAATGAGACTGTGAAAAATAACTAGGGAGTCAGGCACTGTACTGGGCAGAATTAAGCACTTACTACAATTAAAGTAATTAAACCAAAGGAAGTTTAACAGCTAACTCCACCTGGATAACAGCCAGCAATTAAAAAGTCAATATATTGAATAACCACTCCACCCAGGCATTTATATCTAATTGTTCTGGCTTTTTCTCTAAATACATTTCAAATTAATTTTCAGGCCTTCCTGGTTTTCATTAAATTTGCTAAGAAGAGGCCCAAGTGAAATTTTTGTGCTGCATAATATTGTGTCCTTCCCTTCCCACTTCAAAAAAAAATAAATTCTTTCTACAAGGGCAGAGAAGGGAATGCAAGTCTGTGTCCCTCTCCATTATGCAAGAAACAAATGCGGAAGGAAGCTTCGTACCAATAAAGCTGCAAAGCAAACCCTACTCCTAATTCCATTCATAGCTGAAACTGGTGTAGAGTTGAAAGTCTTTAAAATAGCATTCTTCTTTTAGACAAATAACAGACCATTTTTTGAAGGAAGTCTGGGAAACACAGATCCCAGAAGACATCTGAGGCAAGGAAGTTGACTGATTAAAAATCTTACAAATATTCCTTTTCCCTCCCTAGGGAGCACAGCTTCCATCTCCACATAAAGAGAAGAAGCAGGGATTTTGCCATTCATGTTTTTCTTTCAATGTTGCCCCATAAAGCAACTTTTCTAGCAGCAGGTAAAATAAAAGCGTAAAAACTACTTTAAAGGACATGGTCTTTTACAACTGTTTTATTGGAGGAGTAGATCTGTCCGATCACCTCTGATCAATTTTAGTTATTAAAATCTGAGCACAGGATTACTAAGTAAAGGCATACTGCTGCAAACTGAGAGGAGTTACAGACAGAATTACAGACAGCAAGTACCATTGCAATTTCTCACAATGTTTGGGTTTTCTTTTTTAATCTACCTAGTATCCCCTCTTTGTGTTTTAACAAAGTTTTAGAAGCACTTCAGAGAGCAGGAATACATGCCCCTCAGCACATCAAATTCAGACTTGATACTCACTTTCCCCTCTCGCCATCTGCATAGGCATCTCTCTATACTTCTCTTCCAAGTGTATCAGAGGAAAACACTTGAAAACAAAGCCATCATTATAAAGTAGCATACTGGATACTGGCACACTCCATTTACCACATTAAACAAAAATAGGTAGAACCAGTGTTACCGAAACAAGACAAGTAAAAAACACAGGAAATAATTTGTTTTCTCTCCGTTTTGTCAGGAAGGCACTTCTAGAGTTTGTGAAATTCTTGCAGAATTCATTGAGAGGTGTTTTTCATTTACAACAAACTAAATTATAACATATAATGATTACTAGAAATGCTAGACACCTGTATGAATTAAATGCAAGAACATAATTTGTGAATGACTTGAAAAATGTAAACTAACATTAGCAAACCTTCCCAGTTTTAGATTATCAAGAGCACCAGCCGATTCCATCTTCGAAGAGTATTTGCAAAGCATTTGCATTTGAATTCTGTTTCATGTTGAATCTAATGTAAATCTAAACCAAATGTAGGCTCTGGCTCTTGGCTATTCATATAATTCTTTTCAATTGTACATACCTCCAGGACACTGAAAAGAAGCCTAGCATCTAGCAATGCCAAAGAAATTAAGGTCTAAAGGCAAAGAAAAGGAAGGAATAACCTTCCAGAGATAAGATCAGGCTGGAACTTGAAGAATTTAAATATACACAAAACTTGATCAAAGCAAGGTTTCCCTCAATATGCAACTGTCCCCAGGGCTCCTCCACAGGCCTTCAAGCTTCCTTGTCCGGAACTGTTCCAAAATTAATGCCCTGATCAACTCCAGTACTTATACACTCCTGTACCCACCAGCTCTGCCTGGAGTCTCATTCATTATAGTTGCAAGTTCTGCAGTATCCTTCAGAGAAAATTTAAAGTATGAAACACGAGAGTCAAAAAAATTGTACAATTTTTACATATACATTTATAAGAAAGGCTTTTTAAATCTCTTCGAGACACAGTGCAAGACTGTTTGTCACTGACACATTCAATCTATCAGTCCAGTCTACAAGTGGCAACAGACTTTTTTTAAGCAAACTATACAACACAATATCCCAATTTTAATCTGATTTCACACAGAAATTTATTCCAAGTTATTTCATGAAATACCTAATCCAAAAGGATCTGAAAATTGTACTCTATAGCATTTTTTTATTTAGTATGATTTGGCAGAAAATAAGTTAACAAAAAGTTGGATAACAAGCCTACCTTATAATTTTTAAATTTAACTTTTATCACCAAGAATCAACAGCAACACAACCCTGTTGTAGGAAACTTGTCAGTAACATGTTACAGATATTAGAACTTGTGGAATAACCTGCCTGCAGCAGAAGTAGGTAAACTAGCAGATGTTATTTTTTATACACTTAGTTTAAACTGTGCATCTCAGGCCTCCTCAATGCCCAGATTCTATCCAGTCCATCCAAATCAGTTACCTCTAAAAAGTTCAGTTCTCAAGACCCCATGCCTCAATAAACACCAAGGAAAGAAGATTAAAGGAATTCTGTTTCTTTATACATTTGCAGAACTGACAACCATTCTTCAAGCAGCTATAAAAATTTTTGGCATATAAGAGATTACATGCAAAGACTGACAACTGCAGCCACTCTTTTGCAATGGAAAAGCAGGGGTTTAGTATCCTAAATTAACCAAGCATAATAAACTTTCCAACACGTTTTCTTGAAAAAAAAAGTTTTCTCACAAGTAATTAATTGCAAAAAAATTAACAAGTTGTCTGTGACGGCATGAGAAATTAAGCTATACAATTACACATTTGGTAAAACTAAACTCATCTGATAGAGCTAGCTC